CCCATGCAAGCAAAATAATGCTCAAAATACTGCAACATAGACTCCAACTACACATGGAAAGAGAAATCCCAGAGGTTCAAGCAGGGTTCAGGAAAGGAAGAGACATCAGGGATCACACTGAAAATATTTAATGGCTAATGGAGCATAGCAGGGAGTTCCAAGAGAAGATCATCATGTTCTTTATAGACTACAGCAAAGCCTTTGACTGCATAGATCATGAAAGGCTATGGAATGCCCTTAAAGACATGGGAGTGCCAACACACCTGATAGTCCTGATGAGGAATCTGTACTCTGGACAAGAGGCTACTGTCAGAACAGAACACATAAACAGAATGGTTCCCAATTGGCAAAGGGGTAAGACAGGGCTGCATCCTATCACCCTACCTATTCTCTTATATCCAGAACATAGTGTAAGAAAAGCAGGCTTGGACACGGAAGAGGGAGGAGTGAAAATAGGAGGAAGAAATATCAACAATGTGAGATATGCTGACAACAGTTGATGACACCATAATACTAGTAGAGAACCTCACAGACCTGGAACAACTACTAAGGAAGATCAAAGAAGAAAATGCAAAGGCAGGCTTAAGGTTGAACATAAAGGAAACAAAAATAATGACCACAGAGAACTTACACACATTCACACTAGACAACGAGGAAACAGAAATAGTAAAAGAGTTCTCATATCTGGGATCAAACAGAACGGGAACTGCAACCAGGAAATCAGGAGATTAGGAATGGGGAGGGCGGCTATGAAAGAACTAGAAAAGATCCTAAAATGCAAAGGCATATAACTCAGCACAAAAGTCAGAATCATACAAGCTATCGTATTCCCTATTACCTTGTATGGATGTGAGAGCTGGACAGTCAAAAAAGAAGATAGGTGGAAAATCAATGCATTTGAGATTTGGTGCTGGAGAAGAGTGCTGAGGATTCCATGCTCAGCCAAAAGGACAAACAAATGGGTCATAGAGCAGATTAAGCCAGAAATATCCCTAGAAGCCAAGATGACAAGATAGACTGTCATACTTTGGACACATCATGAGAAGTCATGAATTGTTGGAAAAAAACAATAATCTTAGGAAAGGTGGAGGGAAGTAGAGAGAGAGGAAGTAGAGGCCAAATGCTAGATGGATGGACTTTATTAGACTCCTGAATATGAGTTTGCAGGAGCTGGGCAGAGCAGTAGAGGACAGGGGCCCCTGGAGATTTCTCATACATAGGGTCACCATGGGTTGAGACCGATGTGAAGGCAGTTAACAACAACAACAAATTGAGTCTTTAATAAACATCTACCACTGAAAGAAGTCAGCCATCACAGATGGTTGGAGGCAAAGAAGCTTAATCTAGATAGCACAAAAATACTGTGGATAGAGAAACCTGTTTATCTATATGGAAGGACATTACATAGGTCTGTATCCCCTGAAAGACCAAGTGCACAGCTTGGGAGGATCTCCTGGATTTTGTGCTATCTATAGAAATGTATAAAACTCTGGCTTTGGCTGTTTTGCTAGCTCTATCAGTTAAAAAAAGGGGAACTTGCATGACATCAGGTTATACCCATGCTAAACT